CCGTCACACACACACACACACACACACACACACACACACACAAACACACACACACACACATGCTATGAACATGACTGTCTGTTGAACCCCCGTGCACGCCCATACAAGCACAAAAAAAGGGGGAGAGGTAGTGGAGTGTCCCGCCGCCTAGAAGAAGAAACTCAACGGAAGACTCTGAGAAGCGAAGTGACAAAATACTTAATTCAGTGAATTCTCTCCACATCAATCATTCATAGATAACAACCGAGTGATCACAAGATTCACAACCAGAAAGCAATGGAGAGATGAAAACTCAAACACAGTATTAACACTGTTTATTGAACTCATAACATCGTTCAACTAAAATAACCTCAGAAGTTCAGAACCCTGTTGCGCTACCTGAAAGGGGTAGCGCCTCAACCCCAACACCCTGAACAACTAAAGACAGCAATGAAAGTTACGAAACCCCAGCCTCCCCACGACCCCAGGTAACACCCAGCGGGCCAGCGGCCCAGCGCCACCCTGACATCCAACTCAGTGGCCTGCGCGAAAGTGAAATGGGCTCCCAGAGCCAATTGGCGATCGCCACTGAGATGATGAAGTAGAAGCTCACCGCCAACAGTACCTGATGAAGATGAAGTCCAGATGATGATAATCTCTGAGAAGATCCAGCTATGGCTGGATCGCTGCAGGGAGTCCGGGAGCCTGGGACCCTACTCCTGAGGAGGGTCAGCACTGACTCAGCAGTGCAGCACGTACTCCAACGCATCAGACCTCTGATAGCCCAGACCTCTGGTGTCCACATCCTATCTATAATCTACATATAGCCTAGACCGACCTAGACCAGATTGAGTGACCAGTTTTGGCCTCTAGGGCCTGACCCTACCCGACTATAGGCTATAGGACCGTCTATCAGCATAGGCGCGTAGGGCCTGTGTGTCCTAGGGGTAGCCCGGGTCTGCTATTCGCAGTTTGGGTAGCAGTAGCCTGTAGCCTGTAGGGAAAATGAAGTTGGTACTGGGCCCATATATCTATATTTACATATATGTACCTCGCGAATTTTCCATACAGGCAGGTAGAGACTCTAGGGCCTCTAGGGCCTAACCCTACCCGGCTATAGGCTATAGGACCGTCTATCAGCATAGGCCCGTAGGGTCTGTCTGTCCTAGGGGTAGCCCGGGTCTGCTATTCGCAGTTTGGGTAGCAGTATCCTGTAGCCTGTAGGGAAAATGAAGTTGGTACTGGGCCCATATTTCTATATTTACAGATATGTACCTCGCGAATTTTTCATACAGGCAGGTATCTCGGTCAGTCCTTTGCCAAACAAAGAATGATAGAGAGCAGTGAACACTGAACACACAGAGTCTCTCTCTCTCTCTCTCTCTCTCTCTCTCTCTCTCTCTCTCTCTCTCTCTCTCTCTCTC